CGGCTTCAACTTGGTTGGAACTGTTGAGCGGGCGACGCAACGTTAGGGCCTCTCCCTATATATAGTTACTCCAAGTTTCTATGGCTACTCCTTCGCTTCTTCTTACTGCAAGTCTTTCAGCCACACCCCCTGATCTTCTGATAGGAAAGATCTGCACCTAGCATTCTCCGACAAGGGCGAAAAATCTCGGAGGGCATTAATAAAGATCCCTTGGTGGTCTAAAATCGATCGAGTAGGCTTCGGCCGCCACCCGGGCAAAATTCAAAATTTCCTACCAACTGAAAATATTAGGTGTGTCCCGCGCGCTCATATGATCTTATGCTGTTGCGAGCGCCGTAAAACACTTTACCAAAAAAACAAAAAAACAAGAAGATTAGAGGTGTCACAAGAGAGTAACAAACACAAAAAAGAAGGAGGGGAGAAAAACACGATGGATGTTTGATAGGAAAAAAGAAGCAAACCACACCATATATATATTTATACATTACATGATGTATCATGTAGAGATCTATGTCTGGTCTATTTTTTTGGGTCACGACGTGCAATCAAAGATTCTCCACTCAATATTTGGTGCAATGAGAGGTTAATAAACTTAGGTATACTATCCTGTTAACACAAAGCCACTAAGTTACCCCTCAAAGTTACCTGGGTCTTTTTAGGGGGGGGGGGGGAGAGAAACCAGAAGATTGTCAACAGAGGGTTGTCTTTCCGAGGACCTAGTTATGAAGGGCGCCGGTTCAGATCGAGATAATAGGTCTCTGTGTCTGATTGGGCAATTTCAAAAGGTGGTAGGCTAGGCCTATGCTATACATGTACTGTGATTGGCACTCTCAACGATTTATGTTTTAGTAGCCTACATGTAATGTCCTCCACCAATCATTTCGGTCCCTTATCATAAGCCAAACTGGAATCCTAAAACTGTCCGTGTAAATTACAGCACGGTAGGGTTCTGGCAGTAAATACATACATGTACACCGTGAATTTACCACAATACCCGGTACCCTTTTTAAATAGTATTTTAGCTAATACAAATTGGCCTACACCTCTGTGGTAAGAGCCGGTATGTCTCAAACATGTGAAAAAACGCATAGCCTTATTTCCACGATATGTAGAGTGAAAATAAGGATAATTTTCCAAACAACAGGCCTTTGAAATTGGACTGAATTAAGTATTGTCATTGACTTCAAGAGCACAATACAAAACAATATATATATGAGTGCATTGTCATTTCATGGCTGTTCGACTGTTCAAAGTTCCAAATCCTGATTTTGTTTGCTCCTTTTGCATGCTGCGTGAAATTTTCTACGCTCTGAATGAATTTTAACATTGAAAACTGTTTTATTTATTGTCCTATTCCATTTGTTGTAGCAGAGGTTTTACGGCGCTCGCAACTGCATTAAGGTCATATATGAGCGCCAGAAGATTAGAGGTCTAACAAGAGAGTAACAAACATAAAACAGAAGGAGGAGAGACAAGGACGATAGATTTTTTATATGAAAGATGAAACAAACCACACGAGAGCACCCGCCAACAAGCCACCCCGATTCTATAGATTAAATGGTGAATTTCATCCTTTCTACAACAGCTCTTTCTGATCCAATTTTTTAAACATCTCTTTTCAGACAATTTGATTGTTTTTTCTTTGTGTACCTACTTTAACTTAAAAAGTTAAGGACGCAATATGTCCGCCAGCAGACCTAAAGCAGTGTCGGGGCACCTTCGAACGATCACACACACAGACACACTTCAGAATCAGAGACACAAATTCGTATATATATAGTTTTGTAGAGGTTTTACGGCGCTCGCAACTGCATAAGGTCATATGAGCGCCAAGGGGTGGATGTCAACAGAGAAGTCCATACAGGGAGTCAGGCTGACTCTGCTCACCTCTCTAGCTCCAACAGCACACAGTCTGCTTCGACTATCAAGGCACTCTGGAAATAGCGGGTCACAAGAGTGTGACAAACATACAAAAGAAGTAGAGGAAAAATGACGATAGCAAGGATGATGAAAGTTCAGACAGTTGAGCATGACATTGATGAATCAGCCAATTTACAATTCTACTGTGTATAAGAACATGTTAATGCGCCCCCCCCCCCCCCCCTTTTGGGAATGGCCTAAAGACACTTCAGTCTGTAGCACTGCCCTGGGGTGAAACAAACAAACAAACAAACAAACAAACCAGCTAACTGACCGCCATAGGTACACACAGAACACGGATTTAAAAAAACACCCACGGGTTGGCTAATTAATCCTTCTCCCACGAGAAAGACAAAGAAGATAGAGAGAGACAGAGAAGACTTTCGGCTCTGAATAAAGGTGCATACATGCTATATCATCAAAAAGACACTTTTCAAACATAGATCGCAAAGAACAATCATGCTCCTTGACCTTGGGCTGACGGGGCTATAACAGAGGAACCCCGTTGAACTGCCAGCCCCGCTATTCCACCAACGCCATGCTCGTCCCAACGGTGGCGGTATAACGAGGTTTGACTGAATGGTATTCCATTCTACGATAAATGCATTGCAAGGCTGTTGCACGGTGGTGATCCAGTGGTTAGTGTACACCCTGCGCCCTAATTCGTCCTACAGCGGCCCAACTGGCTTCAAGTCGGTTGAATAAGTAGTCAATCGCAGACAATTGAATTGCTGCCTGCTGCTCTTTGTATAATGTGAAGACACAGACCTACTCAACGTGAGATCTGGCACTGTCGTGTTGAAACATATAGATCTAAAGGTGTGTGTTACATGTATTTCCAAAAAAATGAACAACATGAGCTTGCAGTAAGAAGCGGCATCGAAAACGTGTAGGTCGGAGTTAATTCCCGCCCAAATTGATACGCTTCCTGCTCCCCATCTGCCTCCCAGGGAATGACAACAGTAAGTCAGCATACCAACCCCCTGGTACGTCGTCAAATTATTCTTCTTCCGTCATGTTGGCTTTTATCTAAATTCTAGACACTTCAAAGTTAACTCTGTCCAAGTCTCTGAGCGTCTTCCTTGAGAGTGGATTTCACCAGTCAAAATGAGCGTGTCGCCGTGTCGCAGAAGTACGAGGCCTTCGTAGGGTCTGCGTTTTCTCAAACCTGTTTTCGTCAAACGGCGACCAAATTGTGGATGCACTTGCTGTCCCTCTTATTCTCGAAGGTCTCTGGCTGCTGCAGCGACAGAAAGAAAACGATCTCTTTTGTGGCGAATACGAAATGCCAATCTTGTTGTACGATTGTGACCCTTTGGTTAGTTTCGCCGTCCTTGGTTGATCGGCAATACTTCTAGTTAGTTGTCTGGAAACATTTGAGTCCCCTTCCAATAGTCCACTGATGAACATTAAACCGTGCCACAACCCGCCTTTGATTTAAACATCCATGAGCATCCCCAGTGGAGCGGTTCCGCTCCTCGGTGCTCAACCTTTGCATACTGTTGGGAGTAAATTGAAGAGATCAATTTGAGAGCTGAACGTGTTTTCTTCCACGCAACTGTTAAGTGATAATGTGCAAAGCAAATCCAGTAGATATATTGAAACAAAAAAGCGACAAAATAAAGAAAATGATGATTTACCCGTTTTGCACATGCCACAAAATGAGAGGTGCCAACACCAAAACATAATTTTTATTCCAGACGGTAGGTAAACAATAGCTCAAATTGTGAACTTTTCATCAAAACATGGGACTTGTAAAACATGGAAAGTACAGATTCATGTCTATGCACTATTCAGTCATTGTGCACGACGTGTGTGTGTGTGTGTGTGTGTGTGTGTGTGCCATGCACTGGCATGTCACGCAGTGCTTCGCCTTTGTAGGGGCATTGAAATACATACATGTAAGTTTAAAAGTAAAACAAAGACTGTTCGCGTTCATCAAAGTTACAAGAAGTGCATTGCTGCATCCACTTGCTCTTCCTCCAGTGATTTTGAAGAGTAACCTCTGGCCAAAAGATGAGATGGTCATTTGAAAAAAAAAGGGCAGCTGGTTAAAAGGAATGTCCTGGAACTCAATAAATCTATTCGATTCCAACTCAGATTTGTAAAGAAACATTGTGCGGGCAAGTCGACAATCAAAGAACATTAAAGCGCCATTTTGAACAAGATTTGCATGTACATGATGTACTTTGAAATAATTCAACCGTATTTTAATGTTTCTACTGAAAATTTATTCTTCCAGTGCAGGCAGACTGTTGTGGGCTGACGACGTGCGGGTTGAGTGCTGAGAGGCGATCACAGGCCAAAAATGCACACACGATCGGGACAAGAGTAAAAAAAATTAAGATTTGAATGCACTTCGTTACCACGGAATGTCCTGCCTCTCAGTTTCAGGTATCATAATGGGGGAAATCTCGCTTGTACAATTGTCAAAATTGTGTTCAAAAGACCACAAACATCACCATTTTTATCGTGTCGTTCTTTGGCGGATTTTTTAGGGGGTGGGGGGGAGGGGTAACCGTTGTATACTGACCTTCACTCTTGTTTTATAACGATACTGCTGGCACTAGCAGTAGCCGTATGCTCAGATGGCAATTGCAACCGTGCCCTTTTAATGTACTGTATCAGCAGCCCCTGAACTTCATGTCTAAATTCCATTGCTTCTAACTGTTCTAATGTTTTCATCATTGGCAGAATGCTTTTGAGAAAATGTTCGTTTTCATCTTGTTCATCTACTAGCGGTTTCTGACTGGTATCAACAGAGATGCATTCTCCTTCGAAATCAGCTGATGGTGCCTTTCGTTTTTTCGACATAAGGTGTGTAGATCTAGTTCCCGTGTCTGGTCTTTTGAAACTTTCTTCGTCGTCGTTGTCGTTTTCGTCATCACAATCTGTAGTTATTGATCCTTCCGAAACTGCATCACAAAAGTCAAAGTCGTCATCAATGTTGATGTTAATGGGCTTCGAATAGGGAAGCAGAAATGACATGGAGTCAAAAAGGGGCCATCTTTTTTTCCTGGAAGGGGCACGCCCTATTTTGACTAATTCCAGAACCCGATGTTGTTTCCGGAAATAGTCACGCAGGTATGCCCATCTTTTCTTGGCAGCGTCAACTGAAACACACAAAAAAGAAGACATTACATTTCAACGAAGATTAGCATGACGAAGCATCAATCAAATTAAAACGAAAGGCCCGTTCTGTTGTTCCTTTTCTTTAAGTCTGTTTTGGTTTGGGGGGGGGGGGAGGATTTGTTTGTTGTTTTATATTTTAACTGATGCTTCATTAACACCTCAAATGCTGGAAGAAGGTTCCTACTAAAGCCCCCACTGCCTTGTGGATCATCATTGGACTACAAAGTACAAAAGCTAGCAAAGAAAATTGCACATAAACCGGTAAAAAAGCAATGGGAAAACACTGCTGCTGTAATCTCCCAAGAAAACCATGACAAGACACATTTATTTCTTAAATGACCGCGTTAAGGCGGTTTACGATCCAGCTCTGAACTCCTCGTTCGGTAGGGGCCGCCACGGGCAGCAGGTGGTGCCCTATCGTCAGGGGCGGCTCGTGGTTTATGAAACTGACCGGCTATCATTCATATTGATCCCCCCCCCCTCCCCAACGCTTCCTCAACCTCCAAGGTA